TGCCTGAGCCCTGAGCGCCGTGGGAGCTGTCTCCCTCTCTGGACTCCGTTCCCCTGCTGGCTTGCGGTCAGCCTCTCCTGGGCCCTGGGGTGAGAACCAGGCCAGCATCCAGTGGCTTCCTCTGCCTCCAAGTTCAGAGCCTCCTGGCAATGACCCTCAGCAGGGCAAGCTGCAGTCGGTGGGGGCCACCGGGGTAGGAGGTTTGGGAGCGGGGGTGAAGGTGGCGGTTAAGTGAAGGCTGATTCCTAGAGTGAGCTCCTGTAGCCCCACTCCTCCCCTGGGCTTCCAGTCTCCTGATTTGCAAAGTGGAAAGATCTGCCTGAGTCTCATCCCAGCTGACTATCAAGGATTAGGCTCTCAGTCTCCATCACCTGCTCCTGGCTTCTCCTCAGCTCTCTGGCAAGTGGTATTATATCGCCTCGGCTTACCGCCTCCCCGAGTACAAGAAGGAAGCTGGCAAAATCCAGGCAGCCTTCTTTTACTTCACCCCCAACCACACGGAGGACACGATACTGAGCAGAGAGTACAGAACCCTGTAAGACCCACACATGGTGCCAGCTCAGCCCCAGCTGCAGCCCAGCTTCTGGCTCCTCCTCCCAGCTGCCCAAACACCTTGAGCAAGCCCCTCCACCCTCCTGGCCTCAGCCTTCTCATCCAGGGAATGGGGGCGGGGCTGACTCTAATTGCCACCTGACTCTCCCCCTCCAAGATTGTGACAGTCCACTTCTCCTTGACTATCTTACCGTTTTCTCCCCTCTTCGGTCTGGCTTTAGCGGGGACCAGTGCCTCTATAACTCCAGCAGCGTGAAGGTCCATCGGGAAAATGGGACCCTGGTCAAATCCGGTGAGCCCTCAGGGAAGGGTTGCTGTGTGGGATGGGAGATGGTGGGTGGGCCAGGCCAAAGGAGGGGACCTGGGGCTTTGGGCACAGAGAGCCCGGGAGATGCCCACTTCTTACATCTCCATGGGCTGCTGCCTGCACACTGAAGCAATCAGTCACAGCTGCCAACCTCTCTGAGCTCTTACTATGTGCCCGGTGCTGTTTGAAGTGCTTTCTGTGAATTAACCCACTTTAATACTCACAAACCAGCCACGGGGACATTGCAGTGCTCAGCTCAGGAAACGGAGAGACAGGTGCCCACTTGTCTCTCTCACTCATCCTGCAATTAGACCTGGACTCAACCCGAGGTTGGTTCCAGTCCTGCCTCTCAACCACTCTTTTTGTTTGTTTTTTATTGATCCTCACCTGAGGATGTTTTCCCATTGATTTTTAGAGAGAGTGAAAGGGAGGGGAGAGACAGAGAGAAAGGAAACATCAATGTGTGACAGACACATTCATTGGTTACCTCCCACATCAGGGCTGGGGATTGAGCCTGCAACTGAGGTACATGCCCTTGGCCGGAACTGAACCCTGGACCCTTGAGTCCGTGGTACGATGCTCTATCCACTTAGCCAAACTGGCTAGGGCTCAACCACTCTTTACCCGCTGGGACCTAAGGGTGGCAGCCTGTTTATTGGGCAGGCAGTGACTTCACCCATGTCCCACCATCACTGCAGAGAAGGCCCATCGCAGGAACACACAAATGCCAATAGAATTGAACCAACACCCCAGGCTCCTCTCTGAACCTCATTGTCCTCATCTGTAAAATGGGGAGAAAGGCCCTGACAGCCACAGTTCACAGAGGCGCCTCTGATTCCACATCCATTCAGCACAGGGCCTGGTGCACAGCAGGAGTGAGGGACACATGGCCCAGGTGAACCCCTGGCCCTCACCGATTGGCTGTGTGGGCCTGGGCACACCCAGGTTTTCTCATCTGTGAGGAGGAACCCACTGTTCCATCTCCATGGTCTCACCCAGAGGCTTTCTCTTCCAGAGAATGGCAGAGAACATTTTGCCCACCTGCTGCAGAGAACATTTTGCCCACCTGCTGCTCCCCAAGGACCCCAAGACCTTCATGCTCGCTGCATTCCCAGAAGACAAGCAGCTCATGGGGCTGGCCTTCTTTGGTAGGCACCCCCAAACTCCCACCAGCCTTCCCCCAACCACCTGCTCCTAGGGCTGGGCCCCTAGACCTCCAGTCCTCCCTGGCCTCTACCCTGCCCTCCCACACTCTCCACCCTCCACCCCCCCAACCCCACACACACACCCTGACATTCTCACCTGTCCCCTTGCTTCCTCCTGCAGCTTACAAGCCAGAGGCGACCCCGGAGCAAATGGAACAGTTCTATGACTACCTCACGTGCATGGGCATGGACAAGTCGGAAGTCATGTACTCCGATGAGAAAAAGGTGAGGGCAAGGAGGACTAGGCGGTGCCCACCTGAGGGCGCTCCTGCTTTGGGCAGCTCCAGAGGCCCAGAGAGGGCCATCTCCCAGCCAGGGCTGCACAGCCAGGCAGGAGAGACTGCTTTTCTGTGCCCATCTCACTGCGGGGACAGCTGAGCTTCCCAGAAGCTCATGGGGACTGGAGCCCCAGTCCAGAGCGCACTCCACCTTCCCCCCAGGAGCCCCTGCCCACCCTCATTACTGTGTTTCTTCTCCTGCTGTCCTGCAGAATGTGTGCCTGCCGCTGGAGAAGCAGCACGACGAGGAAAGGAAGAAGGAAGACGAGAGGTCCGAGACAGGCACAGCTTTGGATTAGGACCTCGGGGACTTTGGGGTGGGGCCTATCCTGAGACACCCCCACCCACCCTGTGTGCCTAAGTTCTTTCCCTCAGTTGCACCAATAAAGTTTCTGCATTTGGAATAGGCAGGTTGTCTATTGCTCACTCACTCATTCATTCACTCATTCATTCATGTTGAAGCCGGCGCCCCTGGCTGCAGAAGCCCCTCCTGTTACCCCCAGCCCACATGCCAGGATGGACGATGGCACGTGGTGTGGGAGCCCAGCACTAGAAGGTTCCGTCTGCAGGAGGCGAGTCTGGGAAGGCTTCCTGCAAGGGGCATCTGAGCCAGTCTAGAAAGATTAGGAGCTTGGTTAACACCTGCTGTTCCTGCTGCAAGCCAAGGGTCTGAGAAGACATGTTTGAGGAACATAAGGCAGAGGACCCACAGTGGGAGTTCAGGTGGATAAGGGGTGGAGAGGACTCAGGCAGAGGGCATGGTGCCAGGCTTGAAGGACCTTATGGCAAACATCACCCTGGCCATCTGGGAGGTGAGCTGAGTGGGGCCTGATGAGGTGAGCACCAGGGCCAGGGCAGAGACAGAGGGAATTTTGGAAATAATGTTGGAAACACAGAAGCCTCCAGCGGGAGGCAGGAGAATAGGAATGTGCCCCCAACAGGCCCACAGGTGGGGAAGGGGGAAATGGCTGTGTCAACCTTCCATCCCACCAAACTGACTTTAGAAACCACAAATCAATTGACATACACCACAAACACCACAAACTGTGGGAATGTTGTGGGGGGTTTTTTTGGCTTTTCTTTTTTTATGATCAATATTCATTCTTCTTCATTTGCGCTAATAACAAAAATGGACTTTTCCAATGCCCCCAATATACAGATATCACAGATGCACACACATTCCAGGAAAGGTGAGGTACCCACTGCTATGGTGAGGGGGGATAGGACACGGCCTGGCAGGTAGCTGGCCACTGGATCAATTCCACAGGGATCCCCAGGCCAGAGTGCGGGTCTCGAGATGAGGTACAGAGAGGGGCCATGGAGGATTGGGCCTTAATGGGCAGTCGGACATCCCTCGAGGGGTCCCAGATTGGAGAGGGTGCAAGCTGAGCTGAGGGACACCCCCCAACCCCCCTGCATGAATTTCATGAACCAGGCCTCTAGTAATAACATAAAATGCTATAGAAAGATATAAATAGAGAGCATGGTTAAGTAAGTTATAATCTAGAAAGTGAATGAAAGGTGATGTGAGCTTTAAAATCACAACCACTCACTACAGTGAAACATGAAAAACTATTCAAAATATATAAAATGGCACTTGCTGGTTTGGTTCAGTGGATGGAGCATCAGCCTGCGGACTAAAGGGTCACAGGTTCAACTCCGATCAAGGGCACAAGCCTGGGTTGCCAGCTCCATCCCCAGTAGGGGGTGTGCAGGAGGCAGCCAATCAATGACTCTCATCATGAATGTCTCTATCTCTCTCTCCACCTCTGAAATAAATAAAAATATCATTTAAAAAAACAAAAAATAAAATGGATGAGCCTCCAAAGTTTTAAGCATACCATAATACTATTTTGTGACAATATTATTTGTATGGATAAAGATTTGACCCCGTCATGTAGAAATGCAGAAGGGTGGTAGAGTTAGTAATTGCACAGGATTTCCTGAGCACCCACTGTGTGCTGGGCACTGCTCCAGGATTGGGGCAGCTGGTGAAAGAGAGCAAGCTTCCCACTTGAATAGCAGAGGATGAAGACAACACAGAAGTGATTTCCTGTTTCAGATGTTGGAGATGGTTCACATAATACACTTACTGAAAACAGGCATTCAACTTAATGCCCCGTGTTGTTTTTTCTTTATGTGTTTTTTGGAAAATAGCCCTGCCTCCAGGCCTGGGTTGGGGCCTCTCTGGACTTTTGGTCTTTCACAGTTGTTACCACACTCAACTGGAACTGAATCCATGTTTGCCTTCCCCCACCCGCTACAGCCCTCCCACACCCATCGCCCCTACACCCCAGGCTAGGCTGGGAAACTCCAAGTTGCCCTCAGCATTTGATTTATGACTGGGTGCCTCTCAAGTCCTGGCACTCAGAGGGGCAGGAGTTGGATGAAACCCTGAGCACCTGCCCCTCTATGGATCTACCAGCTTCACTAATATCACTCCAGCCCTTTCCACCTTGGCTCTGAACAGCCAGACCTTTGAGCCCTGATCTCGAGGTCAGGGACCCGAATTAGACCTGAGCTTGGAGGCTTTACCTGGGGCTGTACTTTGGGAAAGAAGGGAAGGTTCTGCACATGGCATTTCCCTAACGCTCTCAGGATTGTGTCATAGCGAGTCCCCAGGGCCCAGCCCACAGCTCATTATAAAGGTCACCGCACCCCTCAGCCACCAGTACCTCGGACACTAGCGGCATCCTCCTCTTGCCATGGCGCTGCCCTGGGCCCTTGCAGTCTTGAGCCTTCTTCCCCTGCTGGACGCCCAGAGCCCGGCATGTCCCAATTTCTCGGTGCCCATCACCAATGCCTCCCTGGACCAGGTGGGTGCCTGGGCCCTGAGTGCCGTGGGAGCTGTCTCCCTCTCGGGACTTCCCTTCTGCTACTGGCTTGTGGTCAGCCTCTCCTGGGCGCTGGGGTGAGAACCAGGCCAGCCTCCAGGGGCTTCCTCTGCCTCCAAGCTCAGAGCCTCCTGGCAATGTCCCTCAGCAGGGCAAGCTGACTTGGTGGGGGCCACCGGAGAGGCGGGGGTTGGGAGCAGGGGGTGGGGGGGGGGTGGAGGGGGGTGAAGGCTGATTCCTAGACTGAGCTCCTGCAGCCCCACTCCTCCCCCGGGTCTCTGTCTCCTGATTTGCAAAGTGGAAAGATCTGCCCCAGTCTCCGCCCAGCTGACTATCAAGGATTAAGCTCTCAGTCTCCATCACCTGCTCCTGGCTTCTCCTCAGATCTCTGGCAAGTGGTTTTATATCGGCTCGGCTTTCCGCTTCCCCGAGTACAAGAAGGAAGCTGGCAAAATCCAGGCAGCCTTCTTTTACTTCACCCCCAACCACACGGAGGACACGATACTGAGCAGAGAGTACACAACCATGTAAGACCTGCACAAGGTGCCAGCTAAGCCCCAGCTGCAGCCCAGCTTCTGGCTCCTCCTCCCAGCTGCCCAAACACCTTGAGCAAGTCCCGCCCCCCTCCTGGCCTCAGCCTTCTCATCCAGGGAATGGGGGCGGGGCTGACTCTAATTGCCACCTGACTCTCCCCCTCCAAGATTGTGACAGTCCACTTCTCCTTGACTATCTTACCGTTTTCTCCCCTCTTCTGTCTGGCTTTAGCGGGGACCAGTGCCTCTATAACACCAGCAGCGTGAAGGTCCATCGGGAAAATGGGACCCTGTCCAAATCCGGTGAGCCCTCAGGGAAGGGTTGCTGTGTGGGATGGGAGGTGGTGGGTGGGCCAGGCCAAAGGAGGGGACCTGGGGCTTTGGGCACAGAGAGCCCGGGAGATGCCCACTTCTTACATCTCCATGGGCTGCGGCCTGCACACTGAAGCAATCAGTCACAGCTGCCAACCTCTCTGAGCTCTTACTATGTGCCCGGTGCTGTTTGAAGTGCTTTCTGTGAATTAACCCACTTTAATACTCACAAACCAGCCGAGGACATTGCAGTGCTCAGCTCAGGAACCTAGAGACAGGTGCCCACTTGTCTCTCTCACTCATCCTGCCATTAGACCTGGACTCAACCCGAGGTTGGTTCCAGTCCTGCCTCTCAACCACTCTTTTTGTTTGTTTTTTATTGATCCTCACCTGAGGATGTTTTCCCATTGATTTTTAGAGAGAGTGAAAGGGAGGGGGAGAGACAGAGAGAAAGGAAACATCAATGTGTGACAGACACATTCATTGGTTACCTCCCACACCAGGGCTGGGGATTGAGCCTGCAACTGAGGTACATGCCCTTGGCCGGGATGGAACCCTGGACTCTTCAGTCCGTGGGCCGATGCTCTATCCACTTAGCCAAACCGGCTAGGGCTCAACCACACTTTGTCCTCTGGGACCTAAGGGTGGCAGCCCACCCATGTCCCACCATCACTGCAGAGAAGGCCCATCGCAGGAACACACAAATGCCAATAGAATTGAACCAACACCCCAGGCTCCTCTCTGAACCTCATTGTCCTCATCTGTAAAATGGGGAGAAAGGCCCTGACAGCCACAGTTCACAGAGGCGCCTCTGATTCCACATCCATTCAGCACAGGGCCTGGTGCACAGCAGGAGTGAGGGACACATGGCCCAGGTGAACCCCTGGCCCTCACCGATTGGCTATGTGGGCCTGGGCACACCCAGGTTTCCTCACCTGTGAGGAGGGACCCACTGTGCCGTCTCCATGGTCTCACCCAGAGGCTTTCTCTTCCAGAGAATGGCAGAGAACATTTTGTCCAGCTGCTGCTCCCCAAGGACCCCAAGACCTTCATGTTCGCTGCATTCCCAGAAGACAAGCAGAACATGGGACTGTCCTTCTATGGTAGGCACCCCCAAACTCCCACCAGGCTTTTCCCAGGACCACCTGCTCCTATGGCTGGGCCCCTAGACCTCCAGTCCTCCCTGGCCTCTATCCTGGCTCCCCCCATGGACCCCCCCCCCCCCCACACACACACACTGACATTCTCACCTGTCCCCTTGCTCCCTCCTGCAGCTGACAAGCCAGAGGCGACCCCGGAGCAAATGGAACAGTTCTATGTCTACCTCACGTGCATGGGCTTGGACAAGTCGGAAGTCATGTACACGGATGAAAAAAAGGTGAGGGCAAGGAGAACTAGGCGGTGCCCACCTGAGGGCGCTCCTGCTTTGGGCAGCTCCAGAGGCCCAGAGAGGGCCATCTCCCAGCCAGGGCTGCACAGCCAGGCAGGAGAGCCTACTTTTCTGTGCCCATCTCACTGCGGGGACAGCTGAGTTTCCCAGAAGCCAATGGGGACTGGAGCCCCAGTCCAAAGCACACTCCACCTTCCCCCCAGGAGCCCCTGCCCACCCTCATTACTGTGTTTCTTCTCCTGCTGTCCTGCAGAATATGTGCCTGCCGCTGGAGAAGCAGCACGATGAGGAAAGGAAGAAGGAAGACGAGAGGTCTGAGACAGGCACAGCATTGGATTAGGACCTCGGGGTCTTTGGGGGCCTATCCTGAGACACCCCCACCCACCCTGTGTGCCTCAGTTCTTTCCCTCAGTTGCACCAATAAAGTTTCTGCATTTGGAATAGGCAGGTTGTCATTTGCTCACTCACTCATTCATTCACTCATTCATTCATGTTGAAGCCGGCGCCCCTGGCTGCAGAAACCCCTGCTGTAACCCCCAGCACACATACCAGGATGGATGATGGCATGTGGTGTGAGAGCCCAGCACGAGAAGGTTCCTTCTGCAGGAGGGGGAGTCTGGGAAGGCTTCCTGGAAAGGGCATCTGAGCCAGTCTAGAAAGATTAGGAGCTTGTTTAATACCTGCTGTTCCTGCTGCAAGCCAAGGGTCTGAGAGTGTAGGGAGCGGCTATAGGGTTAAGCCTCAGACTGACCTGTTGGCAAAGCCACAAACAAGTCCCAGCTAAGAGGGTACAGCCCTCTTAGCATAATTAGGCTTGACCCTATGACTCTCCCTAGATCAGTGGTTCTCAACCTTCTGGCCCTTTAAATACAGTTCCTCATGTTGTGAACCCCAACCATAAAATTACTTTCGTTGCAACTTCCTAACGGTAATGTTGCTACTGTTATGAATCGTAATGTAAATATCTGATATGCAGGATGGTCTTAGGCGACCCCTGTGAAAGGGTCGTTCGACCCCCAAGGGGTCGAGACCCACAGGTTGAGAACCACTGCCCTAGATCTTATCTAGGTAGCTAATGGGCTGCAGGAGATGTAGCAAGTGCTGCCAAAACAAGTGAAACTCACAAGAACATTGTAACTATGGTGACCACTACCTTGTTTACCTCTGGCTATAAAATAAAGGCTCAGCTTGCTGTCTGGGTCTCTCTCTGTGGCCTTAGCCAGGCACAGAAGATCCACCTAGGTCCAGCTTATTCTCTTTGTCTGTCTTTTCTACATCCTTTGCCACTCTCCCCTCCCCCCGAGGCTCACCAAACCCGTGGCTGAGCTGGCCTGGCACATTTGGCGCCCAGCCCGGGGCCTGAGTTCAGGGGAACTGCAGTTGTCGGGTGAAAGGACGCTCCAGTGAAGCACGTGCAGAAAGCAAAAAGGAAGGTAAGGAGTGAAGTTTAGTAATAACCAGGTGTAAAACATGGGAAATTCAGGATCGCAGGAAAAGAATTTATAAGGCTATACTCCAAGCACAGGGCTGTTCTGTGAGGTATCAACAGCTTTTCGATTTGTTGGATTTTGTAAGTAAAACCTGCCCATGGTTTCCTGGGGAAGGAAAGGTAAATGTAGAGACATGGGAGAAGGTAGGAAAACAACTTAGAGATCGTTATATAGTTGAAGGTCCAGGGAAAATTCCTCTGTCTGCTTTCAGTATTGTTGCAAGGTCTGTCTCTCACCTGGAGACTACTTATTATGGAAGTATTATATTCGCGGTTGTGCTGACATTGGACCAACCTACGTTCAGGGAATAGTATTAGCTGCCACATTAAAGGAGATGTTACTCACTGGTCAGCAGAAAAAGAAAGGGGGCTGCTTTACCTGTGGCAAACTAGGGCATTTTGCTAAAGACTGTAATGCTAGAAATGGAAGTCAACAGGCCACAGGGAGTGGAAACAAGCATCCTGGACTATTCCCAAGATGCAGGGGAGGAAAGCATTGGGCAAATGAATGGCGCTCCAAGACTGATGTTGATGATAATCCAATGCCCCCTAGGCAGGGAAACTTCAAGCGGGCCCCGGCCCCACCAAACAGTAGGGGCCTTATCCTTAACCCCACTGCAGCCTTTCCAGCCGGCTCAGTAAACCTTCATCATACCACCCCGGGGAAGCGCAGGATTGGCAAATTCTTCCTGGGGTGAGAGATCAGGACTCAGACAATAGCAGAGAGCGCCATAAAATACAACTATAAAAATAAAAAAAAGGGGGAGAAGAATGTTATGTGTGAAATTTTTTGAATTACAATGCAGAGAGTTGTACAGTGGCTGAAAGGCATCAGGCCTCCTGTACAATAGCCTCTGCCGACTTAGCCCAGTGGAAGGATGCACAAACCAGACAAGAGTTTTACCAGTTTCAGTAATGAGGTGGGGAAGAGGTTGTGTTTGTATCTTTCCAGAAGGAGCAGTGCAGCCAATTTGGGTACCAGAGCTTTACGTGTGTCACCACAATGGACCCAGAGAAGCTCCTGTCCCATTGTTCAAAAGACTGAGAGTTGCCCCAATGACAGAAAAGTGGAAAAAAGAAGAAAAGGAAGGCTACACAAGGGACTGAAGTGCCAACATGGGGTCAGCTGAAGAAGTTAACAACTGAGGCCCCGCAGATGGTAGAAAAGCAAGATGTGGAAGCGACTCCCTCAATCATGTTTCTGGCTATGCTAGCATTGGTCCGCTGCCAGTCTTCTGCAAAGTCCTACACAGCCACGTCCGAGGACTCTGAGTAAATCAGCAAAAGAAACTTTCATTTAGTAGAAAAATGTTACTGTAGTTTGATTTCTCTCTCATTTCTGTGTTGCATTGGCATTGTTTTGTTATTTTTACTAGTTTTAAAATGTTAACCCATTGGCATTGTTTTGTTAATAGCCAGAGCATTATGTTTAAGTTTTAAAATGATAACATGTCTGTAGTTTGGGTTTGGCATTGGCATTGTTTTGTTATTGTTTTAATAGCCAGAATTTTGTTCTTGATGCTAAAGTTTTACTTTCATTTTGGTAGCTTAAAAATAAAAAAAAGGGTGAGATGTAGGAGTGGCTATAGGGTTAAGCCTCGGACTGACCTGTTGGCAAAGCCACAAAAAAGTCCCAGCTTAGAGGGCACAGCCCTCTTAGCATAATTAGGCTTGATCTTATGACTCTCCGTAGATCTTATCTGGGTAGCTAATGGCTGCAGGAGATGTAGCAAGTGCTGCCAAAACAAGTGAAACTCACAAGAACATTGTAACTATGGTGACCACTACCTTGTTTACCTCTGGCTATAAAATAAAGGCTCAGCTTGATGTCTGGGTCTCTCTCTGTGGCCTTAGCCAGGCACAGAAGATCCACCTAGGTCCAGCTTATTCTCTTTGTCTGTTTTTTTTACATCCTTCAATATCCACCCCCCCCCCCCCCCGTCCCCCTCAAGCTCACTGAACCCTTCACTGTGCTGGCATGGCACATGAGAGGACATTGTTGTATGAGGGACATAAAGCAGAGGACCCACACCAGGAGTTTAGGTGGATAAGGGGTGGAGAGGACTCAGGCACATGGCACGGTGCCAGGCTTTAAAGATCTTATGGTAAACATCACCCTGGCCATCTGGGAGGTGAGCTGGGTGGGGCCTGAGGAGGTGAGCTTCTGGACCAGGGCCAGAGCCAAGACAGAGACGGGGAATGTTGGAAACACAGAAGCCACCAGAGGGAGGCAGGAAGAGTAGGAATGTGCCCCCAACAGGTCCATGGGTGGGGAAGGGGGGAATGACTGCGTCAACCTTCCACCCCACCAAACTGACTTGAGAAACCACAAATCAAGTGACATACACCACAAACTTTGGAAATGTTTTGGGGTTTTTTTGGCTTTTCCTTTTTTTTTTTTTTTTTTTATGATCATTAGTCATTCTTCTTCGTTTGCCCTCATAAGGAAAATAGACTTTTCCAATGCCTCAAATATACAAATATCACTGATGCACACACATTCCAGAAAAGCTGAGGTACGCGCTGCTACGGGGTGGGGGGATAGGACACGGCCAGGTAGGTAGCTGCCCACTGGGCCAATTCCACAGGGATCCCCAGGACAGAGCAGAGGTCTCAAGATGAGGTGCAGAGAGGGGCCATGGGCCCATATCATCCTGGGGGCTGGCACCCCAAGATATTCCAATGGTCCCAGAGGGTCCCACCTCCAGTCACATTTTTCCAGAGATGCTTAGGGCCAAGCGGCAGGTCCCAGGCCGGTGGCCAGGCTTGTGCCAGAGCCCCTGCCCCACCCCTTCTTATCTGGCCTCCTGAGGAGGAGGAAGCCCAGGAAATCTCCTCCGTGTAAGAAGTGTCCCCGTTTATAAAATGCATATTATTAGCTGGATGTGGACACGTGCAGGACACTGCCAGGGACTGCATCTGGGCAACAGGTGGCCTTGGTCCCGGCACCTCCTTCAGGGGCTGGAGCCTGGGAAGCGGTTTCTCTTCTTGAGCAGAGCTCTCCCGTTTACCGAGACTGAGCAGCAGGGCCAGCGCTGGAGGGAGAACTCCTCGTGAGGGGTCCGCATGGCCTTCAGGGGAGACGGCAGCAGGCCAGACGCCCACCGTTCCCCCATCTGACTCTGAACCCCCAGTGCCATCAGAAGAGGCAGGAGCCCCGCAGGCTGTGATCAAGGACACAAGCCTCTGTTGCAGGCTTGATCCCCAGTAGGGGGCGTTCAGGAGGCAGCCAATCAATGATTCTCATCATTGATGTTTCTATCTCTCTCTCCCTCCCCCTTCCTATCTGAAATCAATAAAATTATCATTTTTTTTTAAATACAATGGATGAGCATCCAAAGTTGTAAGTATACCATAATGATACTTTGTGAAAATATTATTTGTATGGATAAAGATTTGACCCCGTCATGTAGAAATGCAGAAGGGTGGTAGAGTTAGTAATTCCACAGGATTCCTGAGCACCCACTGTGTGCTGGGCAGTGCTCCAGGATTGGGGCAGCTGGTGAAAGAGAGCAAGCTTCCCACTTGAATAGCAGAGGATGAAGACAACACAGAAGTGATTTCCTGTTTCAGATGTTGGAGATGGCTCACATAATACACTTACTGAAAATAGACATTCAACTTAATGCCCCGTGTTGTTTGTTTTTTAGAAAATAGCCCTGACTGCAGGCCTGGGTTGGGGCATCGCTGGACTTTTGGTCTTTCACATTTGTTACCACACTCAACTGGAACTGAATCCATGTTTGTATCCCCAACCCTTAGCACCCCTCCCACACCCATCGCCCCAACACCCCAGGCTAGGCTGGGAAACTCCAAGTTGCCTTCAGCATTTGATTTATGACTGGGTCCTCTCTGTCCTGGCACTCAGAGGGGCAGGAGTTGGATGAAACCGGGAGCACCTGCCCCTCTATGGAATCTACCAGCTTCACTAATATCACTCCAGCCCTTTCCACCTT